GTATTCATTGTATCTAGGACTTTGTTTCTTCCCCATTATGTTTTCTGCCTTGTGTTCTGTTTTGTCGCAGCTTGAAAGAGGAAATGATGCATGGGGAGGGGAGTGTTATAGTACCTAACTTTTTTCTAATTGGTTGTTTTTCTGTGCTGCTGTGGAGTTCTAGTAAAGAGAGACTAAAGCAAATATTCGCCTCCTGTCATTAATAAAATTAAGATTATAGGTACACTAAAGCTAGCATAATCCACAATTTGTGATACAAAATTAAAGCTATATACAAGAATATACATATAGTCTAAGTACATCCTAATATACCAAATATAATAATATACAAGGGATATGGTGATGCAATATGATTAATAAAAGAGTGTATACAACCATAATAAAAGAGTGAAGGAGAGAAATATGCAATGAAAAACCACAAAGACATAGTGCCAAGTATGTTATCAAAAAGACCTGGAAGATCTATGGAGAAACACAAACAGGTTAAAACAATGAATAAAAAAAACAAGGATTAAAAAAACGATTTTTTTTTTTTTTAAGTCAGTAATATTTTAAATTTCATAAGAAAGTGTAAAAAACAATAAAGAAAATAAACAAAATCTTAAGGGAATCAATCCATAAAAAACAGAATGTCTGAATCAGTATTCAGGCCATTAGGCACTGCAGTTTTGAGTTCGTATATCCATTCTGTTTCTTTCATTGCTAATAATGACATTTTCCCCTGGCTTGGTTTTATTCTTATTTTTTTCTATCTTTATTAATACCATTCCATAATTGATGTTTTTATACTTAAGATTAATTTGTGGACTCTATGTTCCCTTATTACAGAAAAGGGTCAACATTTAGATTCTAAACGATAAGCCCGTAGGTGCTGTTCGTGTGTGCTAACAATAAAGTTGGTCTTGCGTTACAGCATGGTGTGCGCATGCACAGAAGCTGACGGAGGGACTGTAAGTCCCAGGGAATGCGCAGACGCATGGAAGGACGCAGCCAGGCGTATTTAAACGCCAAACACCGAAGGAAAATTTAAATAGCTCCTGAAGAAGTCTTAATAGACGAAACGCGTTGAGAGTTGGCATCCCTGGGGTTTCAGCCTATTTGAGGCACAAAGCGCATTTGCACATATTGATTCCATTCAATTGTGCCACTGATTTTGGGAGTGTTCCATTTGTTTGTTTTGTAACTATATTTGTCAATTAAAGTTTGCACTTTATTTTTTCTCTTTTTTTATGTGAGTTTTGTACGTTTCCAAAGATTTTGGTAACTATATCCATTCTACACCTTGTGAATATGGCGCCCTCTACTATATTTTAACTTTGGTTAGATACTATTCTTTGTATTTGTCTGTGGAGGGATCCAGGGAGTGTTCTCACTTTCAGTGGCTTGCCTGCACGTATTTGCACTTTTCTATCTATTACCTGTCACTGTGATTCCATTGGAAACGCTGCACATACAGATGCTGTACACCATAACCACTTCAAATCACTGAAGTGGTCAATGTGCTCGGAATAACCCTTTAGGGTTAGGGCTGATGGGAGCAACAAGGAGAGTGGAAAAACAGGAATTCATTATTAAAGCAAAAAAGAAAAGTCCTATTTTAAAAAGCATGAGTTTCATGAAGTCGGCCTGTATGCACTTAGAGATGGAGGACGGGAACATAGATTTTGACAATATGAATATTTAATTATAGAGTTATCTGCATACAGGTAATACCAGAAAGCAAAGGGAGTTATCAGATTGTGAAGACAGGTGTTGCAAAGTAAAATCAGAAGGGGATAAAAAAACAGAATAGTGGGGTACCCCAAAGCTAGCGTGGTGGACTATGAGGTGAAAGAAGAGACACAGAAAACAATGGCAAACAAAAATGAGCAAGAGGACAGTAGAGTCAAAGAGCCAGAAAAGTTGACTGTAACGGATCACCTGGCACTCCGACTGGGTACCTCCGTTGAAAGATGCTCCTAGCGCTTCCTGAGGACTACAAGCACTGCAGCAGACACCACAACCACTGAACTGGAGAAGTATATGAATGCTCTCAAGCATATGAATGCTGTAAGCAGCCGAACAGGAAAAGCATACAATCAGCTTACACTCCTGGCAAGCAGCATACAATCCAATTCCCCCAATAACGAGACGACACTTCGTTTTGAGGTCAAGCAGAACTGACTGTACAGGCACATACAGCCTCTTTTATTCCCAATCCACAAACTTAGTACTGCCCACAGGGTTTTACAGAACAACCAATAACACACGTACATTACAGAAAACACTCCCAGCAATTATACACAAAATCCTCGCCTCTGCCTGTGATCTAATTATGGCACACAATGAGTTAACAATTATCACAAGCAGGAAAAATACAGTTTCATAAAACACATCACAGGGACCCCGAAACATGCAATAACCCCATAAAATATCCAAAATTCACTCAGATCCGTTCAGTAGTTTGGAAGATACGGTTTAATGCAGATTCTGCAGAACATATACAGGCTAAATAAAAAACAATCACTGTATAATGTGTCCCCTGCTGTATAGTCCAAAACCACCGCACGATGTCTCTGTGCAACAAATACTGGCGAGATGGCACCGTGTTGAAAAGTCCACACAGTGTCTGTGAGTTAAAATGGCCGCCATCCATTGTTCTCACCATGTGCTTCTGATACAGGAAATGGTGGCCACCCAGTAACTCCACAGTATGTCCCCAGATGGTTCTTAAAGGGCCAGCAGCAGCACAACACAAATCCATTATGCCCAAATCATGTCTTTAAAGGGCAATACATCCCAGGGGCCATAGTTACATGGCAGGAGGCTGGCAATCAGTCTTCTCCAATGCCCAGTGGCGAGGTCGGTTTCGCCACATTGACTAAAGAGCTGTGACCTAGGAAGTTTGCAATGACATAGGTTCTCCTTTTTTAAGTTGCATGAGGGTGCTGAAAGTGGAAGCCAGATTAAAAAGGGTTACTCCAAGCACCATAACCACAATAATTTGATGTGGTCATGGTGCTTGGAGTCTGTATGAGAAACATTTCAGTGCTCATACAAAGATATTTAATGTAACTCAGCGTTCATAGAAATATGGAACAAGAGTTCCGGGCTGGCTGATGTCAATTCTGTGTATTCCTTGTGTTTGTGTTTGCTTCCTTGGTTTTGCAATCAATGAGTGGCAGGATCAGCTCTATACAAGCCGAATGTTGTTAATCTGCTGCAAAGGAGACCCGGCGCCTGGGAACAAGATAAGAAGGTTTACAGTTGCAAATTATTTTATTTATAACTCGGGATGCTGATGTGGTGCTTGGACTTCTGTTATTGTGTGGTTATGATGCTTGGAGTAGACCTGTAAAGGAAAACCGTCATGACTTAACTGACCCTCTGCTCCCCTACCGCAACCTAATTAAAGAGGTGGGTGTTACTCCTCCTGCAGTCTTAGTTGATTTAGTTGACACATCCCCAATCAGAGCAAACCTCTTCCATGACAAAGACATGCTGGCTTCATTGTTAGTGCGTCGGCAAGTAAACAGAGTGACGTCTCCTCTCAGTTGAGAGTCTGCCAAGGAATTGAGTTAGGTGGGAGAAAAAATTGGTGTTAGGCAAAGCACTGATAACATTTCAATTGGATCAATTGGTTGTCAGATATCTTTTTTGTTGTCAAGTTGTTAAGGTCATACAATAAATTGATGTGTCTTATTGGTTTGCATATCGTGTTTGGTAGTTTGCGTGTGGGGTTTCCTCCTTGTGGCAAGATTGTTTGCCTGTTTTGCTTTTTAGGGGTTGTTGTCAGTCTATGCCTTTTGTGTAGGTAATGCATAAGAAAACCATATTGTATAAATACATAGAAACATATATATACTTAATTATATATACAAACGATTGTAACCATTGGTCTCGGGGGTTGAGTCGTGGTTCAACTGATCTTGCTGGGGGTACCAGCTTGGGGTCTCAGTTGTGTGTGTGGGCATGATTCGGTTCTACCTTTTGTGCGGGTGGGGGGAGGTCTTATGTGTTGGGTTTGTGAGTTGGTCACATATCCAGGCTCCCTTATGGGCCTGTGGCTGTGACCTGGACCAGGGACCGCGATGCTGTTGTCTGGGCAGGAGTGTTCCCCCCTGTGATGCATGGGTGTGGGGATTAAGCCTGCGTTCGGGAGCTTTGAGGGCCATTTTGCTACGGGAGTCGGTTACGATAGGAAGGGTTCATTCAATCACGGTTCCCATATCTTGTAAAATTGTTTTGATGTTTCGTGGACCTTGGCTGAAATCCTATCCATCTCTATTGCTTCCTTGGTTTTGCGGATGACTGTAGAGAGTGTGGGTATGTTTACGGTGCCCCAGAGTCCGCTATTGCCCTTCTCATCGCCAGGGCCATTTTATTGTGAGTTTATTTTGTGCTCTGGTTAAGGGTTCCCAGGGCTTCGAGAGGAGCCAGATCCAGGGGTCTAGGGGGATGGTTACTTGGAGTAGGTTGGAGATCAAGTTTGCGACCTCCATACATAGTGGTACCATCTTGGGGCATTACCACCATAGGTGTATGTATTGTTCGCAGCACAGGTCTGATTTGGACATGCCCATGTGGTATAGATGTGTGGGTGTGAGGTACCATCTTCGCAGGGTTTTATAGGCCTGTTCCTGATGGTTTAGCAGATGGATATAGATGCGGTGGCCTCCCAAATGTCTTGCCAGTCTGTCGGGTCTTCTAGTGGTCCCAGGTCCCTCTCCCAAGCCGACACATAGGCCAATGCTCCTGGGGGTAGGTTAGTGATTAGGAGTAGGTAATTGTTGGTGATCTGGCTCTTGTGGGTTGGGTTGTGCATGCATGCTTGTTCAAAGGTCGTGAGTTTGGTAGTGGCTGCCGTTGTGTTTTCTGAGAGTTCCAGGAAGCTTTTTAACTGTATGTATTTGAAAAAGCTGTGTGTGTTGTAGGGTGAGTGTTGTTGTGGTGGGTCATTGTATTGTAGTAATTTCCCGTCAGTGGAAGAGCCTGTAAAGATCGTTATATTCATAGTGCATAAAGTCTTTAGGGTTCATGTCTAAGGTAACGGCTTTGTTGCGCAGTATGGGGGTCAGTAGCATTGGGTCATTGATAATAGGGAATTTCCTGTTGAGTTTGTCCCATATGGTTATGGAGTTGCATAGTGTTGAACGTGTGGGTGGTGGTGTGGGACGAAACTTACGGGGTACCCAAAGGTATAGGGAGGGAAAGTCAAAGCCAAAGAGGTTGTGTTCTAGTTCTACTCAGCATTTGACCGAAGGTGGGGAGTGTAGGTTTTGTATGTGGGTTAATTGAGTCGGGTGGTAGTAATGCTGGGGTAGGCCTAGTCCCCCTGTTCTGTTAGGGATGTACATTGTTGTTCGTTTCACTCTGGGTCGTTTGTTTGAACATATGAATTTGTCTATTTGCGTATGTAAATATTTGAGGTCCGAGGTGGGTATTGGAATGGGGAGGGTTTGAAACAGGTAGAGAAAGCGTGGCAGTAGATTCATCTTTATCAAGGCTAGGCGTCCCAGCCACGACAAAGACAAGTCCCGCCAGCTGTGAAGGTCCTCTGTTGCTCTTTGTAACATCGTAAACATGAGGTTTAAGGCATATGTGCGGTGTAGTTCCGCTGGCAGTGCGATTCCGAGATACGATATGTGGGAGGTTTTGTACCTGAAGGCATATGTTTTGTGTAATATGTTTTTATGTCCTGCCTCTATGTTGAGCAGCAGAGCTTCGGTTTTGTCTAGGTTTAGCCGATACCCCGAGACCTCAGAGTATTCGTCTAGTAGCTTCAGGAGCAGTGGGAGGGTGTGTAGTGGGTTTGTGAGCATCAGTAAGAGGTCATCGGTATACGCCAGTGCTTTGTATGTTTGTGTGCGTACCATGATGCCGGTGATCGATTGTGTGGTGCGGATGAGATGCATCAAGTGTTCAAGAGCGAGGGCGAATAGGAAGGGGGATAGTGGGCATCCCTGCCTCGTTCTATTGTGTATGGCGCAGGGGCGGATCCAGAGCCTGATCTCGGGAGGGGTACTTGAAGATTATTTAAAGAAATAATCAAGGCACAATAACCAGCTGTGTAGTGGTTATAGTGCCAGGAGTGCTGGGACCACCTCCCAGAGTAAGTAGTCAAACTAAGAACAGTTTGACAACTTACTTGGGTTATGCTGGGATATGGAGCTGTAGTAGGGCATAGGAGCAGTAGTGTGTGTGTGTGTGTGGGGGGGTGTAGCGTGTGTGAGGGGGCAGTGTGTGTGTGAGGAGACAGTGTAGCGGAGAGCTGGTCTTTCAGGAAAGATCCCAGTGAGGCTCAGGAACAAGTAATAAACATATCATAGAGTAATAATCACAGCAAGCAAGGTAATCCACGAATATCCCAACACAGATCCCAATGACTGGACGACACACAGCATCAGGAGCAGAACTGACTTTTAATCCACACAACCTCCTTATAAAGCATTCTCCCATGCAAGGGAGGGATTCACCATAATTAGTCCAGTAGCCAATAATGTAACAGTTACCTCCCACACATCTCCTCCCCTCAGTGTGACACATAATCCTATTAAACATACTGTACTTTTCTCTGAATTCTAGATGTACCCCAAAACCCGCAGTTAGAATAATACTTTGGGTATCCCCTGGTAGCACTGATCTGGGTGACTAACATATCCAAAATTCACCCAGATCGGACCAGGTGGAGGATGTAATTTGACTGACTGCACACGAGGTGGTATCCGAAAAAGGCTCCATGTGTTTTGGCCTTGCGGTTGGTCTCTGTTCGGGAATTAAAACACATAGAAATACCTGCCATCCACAGCTAATGTTCCATTCGCATTAATTCCCTTGTTTGGAACATTGATCTTACCGAACAAGGTGCTGACTAGTCCCTCCGTTCATGAGTTACTGAGCTCTGGAGGTCTCAACGGTGTTCGGTCGTTTGAGTGTCCCATTTGAGTTCCAGACACTCGACGACCAAACACCGCTGAGATTTTCATGCGTAAGATGGCCGCCTCACGTGGTTCGTATGCCGAACGGCGACCACACAGGCACATACAATGGATCAATTAAGCTGCGGTTTGCAGAGTGTGAATGCTTAACGAGGCGTACACTTCTCACTGGGGTGGTCTGATGGTTCGGTAGATTAATTCGTATGAAACTACCGAACAATCATACGAAAACTACATACACTTTAAAGATATACTGGGAAACAATTACACGAATAAATTTTCTATACGAATTCCTAAGGACAGCCTCAATACAATCCGCTACAGACAGTGTGTGTGTGTGTGAGGGGACAGTGTATGTGTGTGTGTGTGTGAGGGGACAGTGTATGTGTGTGTGTGTGAGGGGACAGTGTGAGAGTTGCAGTGTGTGTGTGAGGGTGGAAATGTGTGAGCGGTGCAGTGTGTGTGGGCGGCAGTGTATGTCAGGAGTACAGTGTGTGTGTGAGGGGGCAGTGTATGTATGTGGGGCAGTGTGTGTGGGTGTGGGGGGCAATGTGTGTGTGTGTTGGGCAGTGTATGTGTGTGTATGGGCAGGTAGTGTATGTGTGTGGGGCAGTGTGTGTATGGGGGGCAATGTGTGTGTGGGGGGGTCAGTGTATGTTTGTGGGACAATGTGTGTATGGGGGCAGTGTATGTGTGTGTGGGGCAACCTGTGTATGAGGGGGCAGTGTGTGTATGTGTAGTGTGTGTTTATGGGGGCAGTGAATGTGTAGGGTTTGTGTATGTGAGGAGGGTAGGGAGGCAATTTTATGTAAGGAATAATTGACGACAGGCCATTGAATTATTAGAAAAAGAATGCACACCCAAGGTGGTAATGTGGTCACGACGCGAAGCGGACAATGTGTGTATGGGGGCAGTGTGTGTGTGTGGGCAGTGTATGTGTGTGTATGGGGGGCAGTGTATGTGTGTGTGGGGCAATCTGTGTATGGGGGGGCAGTGTGTGTATGTGTAGGGTGTGTGTATGGGGGGGCAGTGTATGTGTAGGGTTTGTGAATGTGAGGAGGGTAGGGAGGCAATTTTATATAAGGAATAATTGACGACAGGCCGTTAAATTATTAGAAAAATAATGCACACCCGAGGTGGTAATGCGGTCACGACGCGAAGCAGAGTGGCCGTTACACCTTGGGTGTGCCTTATTTTTTCTAATACTTCAATGGCCTGGAGTCAATTATTCCGCTTATACTACAGTTACCAAACCTCGAAACATTGTTCAGATGATGTATTTCAAGACGTTTGTCAAGTTTTTGTCATTAAAACGCTCTTGTATGTAGGACTAATTTCTTATGCATCAATTCCCATGCCATCGTTGCTAATTCCAAACCGTCATTTAAGAGTTCGTAACGGAGATTTGAGCCACTGATAACAAACTAATGCAGTTATTAGAGAGACAGAGAGAGGTTGCAATAATGAGACAGAAAAGCATGTGCGTCAATATTTAATTAATTTATTAATTCTTTAGTTTTAATTCATTTGTTAATTTTATTTTTCTATTATTGACAGTAGGCTGTGCAGCATGACTATCTATTCATGTATATTCAGTTCAATTTTCTATTGATTATAGATAGGACTATATACTTTATTTATTCCAATTAAACTGCACATTTCCATTGATTGTGAAGTTAGACATCGAAAATGGCAGATCAAGCGCATGGGGCTGCATGTTAGCGGAGGTTTTTTTTCCTGGTGATCCTTGGCTTGATTTTCGTTTGTATTTTTGTTTCCTGAGAGGATCAAGCTCCATTTCTTTCTTTCTGTAGTGGAAGGTGCCCAGTAGCTTCTCAGGCTTGTTTCACACTTGTGCCCTGTGACAGACATGATCTGCCTGCTCTCCAGCCCTGCTTCTGACAGCATTTGAACTGCAGTGCCTTTTCCGTTATTACATTTGACTACGCAAAGTGATATGGAACTGTAATACGATCAAGACCTGTCTGGAACTACTTTAGCTGTGCGTTTCCCTGAAAATAATGCACACATTAGAACATTCATCAACCAATCAGATTCAAGCATTCAGTGGCCCTGTAGTATAAATGTTTTTATTAAATTGAAAAAAATAATCTTATGTCCCCCATTCCCTTCTTACCTTTACTGAGAGAGGACGGGGACATTTCTTGATCCCTGGTAGTCCGTGGGGAATCCCTGGTGGTCCTAGTGGTGAGAGTGAACTCTAGCCCGGAGCTCCAGGGCTAGAGTTCACTCCTGCGAGATCCGGAGAGTTGCCATGTTGCCATGTACACATTTCTGCAAATATATACACTTTTACTGATAACCTGGATAGAAAAGATAGTATTTTGGGGTGATCCCCCCTCCCTCCTTTGTCTCTACCCCCCTCTCCCCTTCTTCCCTCCCCCCACTCGTCTGCTTAGTTGCCTTCGAGTTCATGTGGCTGATTGGTGGTGTCTGTCCCACCAAGTCTCGGCCGGTAGTCCCTGCGGGTTTATTGTTGTGTCCGTTTGGTGTCATCTCCGGTGCGTTCACAGGACTTGGGCCTGTGCTTGTGGTGTGGCCTGTAGGTGTCTTTTGGGTGGCCATGGCTTCTCCCATAAAGGTGGCTGTATTGGTCGGGTGCTGGTCGACGGGCTTGTAGTTGCGACTGGTGCTTCAGGTATATGGATGCCCAGTGTTGCCCCGAAGGTCGCCATCTTAGAGATATCTTGAAGGACGTGGGTGGTGTTCTTGCGGACTAGTAGTTTGAATGGATGTCCCCATCGGTATGCCATGTTTGCCTGAGCCAGAGCGTTTGTTAGTGGTTTGAGCTCTCTGCATTTGGCTAAGGTGATGGATGAAACGTCCTAATAGAACTGAAGAGTGATTGTGTCGAATTTCGGCGGGTTTATCTGTGTAGCTGCCATGATGGCTTCTTTGAATGTGAAATAGTGTAGGTGCACTATTATGTCTCTGGGCGCCATTTGGTTTTGGCTGGGTGGTTTTAGAGCCCTGTGTGCCCGGTTAATGGCCAAATCTTGTGGCGTCGCTTCTGGGAGGATAGTAAGGAATAATTCCTACAGCATGGAAGGCAATGTGTCTGGGGTGACAGTTTCAGGGAGGTATCTTATCCTTATATTATTGCACCATGAGCGGTTGTTTAGGTCCTCCATGCCATTTTCCAGTGTCTCCACTCTGCTTCTCAGTGGGGTGAGGTCTGATTCGTGGGTCTCTGACCCACTCCTGGATGTCTGGTGACAGCCCGTTGAAAAATTGCTCCAGCAGGACTAGTTGTAGCAAATCTTCTAGTGTGCGTCTTTGTGTGTCTGTACCCAGTCTAGTTCAGCTCTGTGCAGCTTGCATGCCCATTCTGCGTGAGAGTCCTTCTCCAAGGTCTCTGAACCGCCCATGTATGCTTCTGGTGTAATAGCATACCGGGCCAATATAACCTCTTTCACCCAGTCATAGTTCCTAATCTCCTCATCTGGAACAGTGCGTTATGTTTCAGCTGCCCTTCCAGATAATCTGCTTGCCAGTAAGGGCACCTATTCCTCAATATCAATCTTATGTAGGGCACATTGTCTTTCAAAGTCTTGGAGGAATGCATCAATAGCTTCCTCAGCCTCTACATAGTTTTTAAACGCTTGGTATGGGATTTTTGGCTTACCCTCTGGCACTGTGGTTACTGCTGGTGTTCCCTCTGGTATTTGCTGTTCTCTCTGCCGCAGCACAGATTCCTGCAACTCTGTCATGGTTCGGGCAATGATCTCTGTGGGTGGGTTTTCACCATAAATTGCCAAAATTGCAGCTCTCTCTGGAATTCCGACTGTTCCAGTTTGTTTGCCGAACAGATTCGATTGGGAGCCAAACCGCTATCCATCCAATATTCTGCCATTACTTTGGTAACAAGCACAGCCTTTTTCTTGTTACTTGCTGGGATGCCTCTTAGGAGATCCTTTAGCTAGGACCGTTTGAGAATAAGAGTAGTCGATCTCCATCCACGGTCCATTGGCACTGCTGACTCCTGGTGCTTGTTCCTTTGTGAGCTCAGGATCCCGACGCTGCCAACCAATGTAGTGGAGAGTTAGTGGTAGTAGGGCTTCTTCTCCGCTGGTTACTCCAACAGCTACTCAGGAACAAACAGGATAATTCACGAAAGCAGGCATAAGCATAAGATAATCCATGAACATCCCATCACCTTTCCCAATAACTGGACGACACTCCGTATCAGGAGCAGAACTGAACCTTTAATGGCCAGGCTGGCCTTTTATGCAGGTTTTGCCCAAAAGGTTACCACCCAGGTGGAAGTTGTTGGGCACTGGTAAAAACAGAAAACAACCAATACAGACAAAGTCAGGTAATAAGTCACTCCCATACATTTCACACAATTTCCCCTCTGCGCAGGAGATAATTGAGTTAATTACTGTATCAACTCAATTATCTCCAAACAGAAAAATCTAAATTTTCATATATTTCTAGAAGTCCCCCAAAAACACATCATACCCTCACAATTCTGACATCCCCTGGTAGCCGCGATCTGAAGGAGCAACATACTGAAAAATCACCCAGATCGGTTCAGGGGTTCGACAGTTTTATGGAGATCTTAGTTTTACCGACCGCACACGAGGTGTAAGCCGAAAATAGTTCCATGTGTTTGGGCTGTGCGAATGGTCTCTGTTCAGGAGTCTGAAATACATGAAAGTGCATAAAAACATGGTTTGTGCCTTGGTTCGTTCAAATCCTCTCGTCCGTGTGATTCCTATCACTGAATGCCGCTCTGTTCCCCTGAGTTTACACAAACTTACACGAAGATGGAAGTCTCTGCGGTGTTCGTGCCGTTGAGTATCTGATTTGGGTTCCAGACACTCGATGACCAAACACCACTGGAGTAATTCGTATTCAAAGATGGCCGCCGCCACGTGTTCGTATGACGAACGGCGGCCACCCAGGGGATCACCAAGTCACTTTGTGTGTTTGCAATTGAGACAGTGTGAACCAGGTTAGGGAGGTCAATTGTCGCCACGCTCCTCTCATGGGTGGCCTGGTTGTTCGATAGTTCGTTTGTCGAACCCTATAGTGAACAATAGCTGAAAAGGGGTTTGTGGCGGGATTGCCTAAACTGTGAATTGCCTGGTTTCTTTTGTGTGTGGATGTACCCTCCTAGAATGTGTTTCCCCTCTTTCCTATTCCTTTTTCTATAATTGTGACTATAAAATCCTGCACTACACCTTTTGACCGACCGGGGGTGCTCCGACAACCCCGGCACCCTCAGTTAGAACGTTTACTTAGAATGTTCACACCACTAATGAGGTGTGAAAACCACAGACCACAATGGAACGGGCGGCGCGTGCTTCCCTCGGGTGGCCACCGGTTCATATTACCGAACGCCCACCAGGGGGAGCGTTCATCTCCCGAACGGTGCTGGACCACCCTGATACTCCAATTAGAATGTTCACACCTCACTAACAAGGTGTGAAAACCGCAGGGGAATGAGCGGCGCGTGCTGCCCCTGGATGGCCGCCTGTTCGTGTTACCGAACGCCCACCAGGGGGAGCATTAGTCTCCCGAACCGGCCTGTGTACACTGTCTGATCCCGGTGTCAGGGATCACCCTACCCACTCCCAACGGAGCTATAATCTTCTATACTTCTGTTGTCTGTATGTACACATGCCAGCTGATTTAGTGGATGTTAGGTCCATATCGTATTGTTTCAGTCTCAGAAGCTACACAAATACCCACACCGGGCTCTCTACACCTTACATCCAAAGCAACACCCAAGACCAACGGAACTTAAGAGCATCAAGTCTCTCTTCTCACCAATAAGGTTGGACTTTATTTTTATTTTATTTTCCATTGCGATTTTTTTTTTTACTTGTATTTTTCATTTTTCAATCTTATTTTTTTTAAAGTGTGCACACTCCATATTCTACCATTAAATTACTAGGTATCAACATTTCTAAACAATATGTTCCATTAAAAAACTAGTATTTTTTAAAAATTATCTTTGTGACTTAATAGGACCAATAAATGTGTTTATTTTAAATTGCATGTGTAAGAATTGTAAGTTACAGAAGAAATGACGGAGACCCTTAAAAACAATACATATCACACACAATACACCATCTCCATGGTATTCCCCTCACCACACACTATACTCCTTCTCCATAGTATTCCTCTAATCACACACAATACACCTTCTCCATAGTATTCCCCTCATCACCCACACAATACACCTTCTCCATAGTATTCCCCTCATCACCCACACGATACACCTTCTCCATAGTATTCCCCTCATCACCCACACGATACACCTTCTCCATGGTATTCCCCTCATCACACACAATACACATTCTTCATAGTATTCCCCTCATCACACACTATACACCTTCTTCATAGTATTTCCCTTGCAACGGATCCCCTATACTCTAGCTGAGTATATCCGTGCAGAATCTCCCGAAATCCAAGTGTAGCAGAAGGTGTAGTGAATTATAGCTCCCAATCCCCCAAACATGAGCCAGGACTTCATGAAGGGGTAAAACTATCTGTTTAATGGTGGCCACAGCTTGGCCTTTTATGCAGGTCTGCCAGCAAGGGATACTTCCACATGGACCTTGTGGAGGACTGGGACACAGTTTACAGTAACCAATCAACATATAGTACACTGTAAAAACACTCCCACATAAACAGTAAAATTCCTCCTCTATATCCTGGAGATAACTGGGTTAAGTAGTAAACTTAATTATCTCCAGGTAGAGAAAATATTTCCAAGTTATAAATGTAACAAAACACATTAAAATACATAACTCATATTTCACATAACTGAACCCCCATATTCGACATATCCCCAGATAGCTTGGGTCTGAGCGCTCAATATATCTGAAAAGCGCTCAGATCCTATGAACACAGTCGAATCGCCATGGAGTTAGAAGGTTTTCACCGACTGTTCGGCATAAATCTTTCCAGAATTAGTTCACTGGCTGTTAGCTATCAAGGTCAGTCTAGTTCATGAGTTTTTAATGCACCGAACGGTGCTGTGTTCGTATGAACAGAAACGCAGGGATGGAAGTTTGGAAGTCCCAGTGATGTTCGTGGGTAAAAGTGACCGAAAACAGTTCCATGCGGTCGACGACAAAACACTGCTGGGCGTTCGACAGTTTAAGATGGCCGCCGCGTGTTCGTTCATACGAACGGTGACCACCCAGCCGTTCGTCAACTAGCTGTGGTTAACCACAGCTTCTAAGAGGTTAACAGGGTGCACACTCCCCTTGGGTGTGGTCCGGCTGTTCGTTCGTTTGTTCGGTAAACTAAATAAAAGGGAATAAATAGGGCTAAATACACAAACGGCATACAAAAAGGGCACTGTTATCCATAAAACAGGGGTTTTGTCACACCCCTCATCACACACAATACACCTTCTTCATAGTATTCCCCTCATCACACACAGTACTCCTTCTCCATAGTATTCCCCTCATCAAACACTTTGCACCTTCTCCACAGTATCATCATCACACACGATACACCTTCTAAACTGTATCCTCCCCATTACACACTATACACCTCCACAGTATCATTGCATACTATGCACCTTCTCCACTGTATCCTCCCCATCACACACTATACACCTTCTCCACAGTATTCCCTCATCACACACAATACACATTCATGTTATTCCCCTTATCACACACAATACACCATCTTCATGGTATTCCCCTCATCACATACGATACTCCTTCTCCATAGTATTCCCCTCATCACACACTTTGCACCTTCTCCATAGTATCATCATCACACACGATACACCTTCTCAACTGTATCCTCCCCATTACACACTATACACCTCCACAGTATCATTGCATACTATGCACCTTCTCCACTGTATCCTCCCCATCACACACTATACACCTTCTCCACAGTATCCTCCTCATCGCATGCTATATATCTGCTTTTTTTTTCAGTAATTGTGCTGAAGGTGACTATGTTACTTAATACATCAAGGCAGCACAGTAGAAGACCCGGCAATGCGAAACATTAAATCTAGTTGCAAGGTCTTGAATTTTTTGTAAAGAAGGGCAAGTATTAAACGTCTCACAGATTCATGGACTTCCCCTGCAGCCTGCATCTCCTCAGGATTATCTTTAATTTCCAGGTTTTGCTGTTTTGCAGCATCCTCCAGGGTGTCCATTCTGGACGAAAGGGTCCGTTGTGGCTTGTGCAAGGCGATCAGGTTCAAGGCCTGCTGGGTCATCTTCAGGTTAGATGTATCATCCTCTGTAGAATTTATGAAACCCGTAAGGGTATATAATTCCTCTTTGAGTACTGCCAAATCCACAGAAAATAGGTGTTTGATGGTTGTCAATAAATCCTGGAAATAAATCCCTTTTGTGCCTGGAGCACCTCTGGTGTCATCCCTTAGGCTGAAAATCCAACCTAGGGTGAAAACTTATCTAGGGCATCCAAGGGGTGTGAGCTGAGATCATCTTGGGCCTACTTGCATGGTAACTTTTAATTTTATTTGTCCATTGTGTCCTCAAGGGTTGAACATTCAATTGGTGAAGTATTAATTAAAATACTCTTGGTTAGATCAACTTAATCGTGAGTGTAATGTGGAGTTGATGTGATACACGTGTAACATTCAGCAGTCGCTGAGCCCTAAAATTGAGCCCTCCTTAAAGAAATTAAGTGAATTCCAAAGGATACTGCCCATTCATTTTAGTCAGAAAACTAAAATTTCCTCCTAGGTGATGTGAGATCGCTCAAATCTAACATATGGGATGTAAACCCTCCCAAAATGCTATGCTTTTGTTCGATATATAGCAAAGCACATAAGGAAGAAAAACAGTAATGGATGACAAAGAGAGCAGGGAAGTAGAAACACAAATACAGGCATCAGAACTCATGCAGGGTGAGCTTGTCAGGGCTCTCACAATTCAGGAAGGAAATAAATGTGTCAGGTAAGACAGAATTGTGAGGCCTCACCAACAAAAAATTAAGATAAAATTTTAAAGAAATGGGATTGTATATTAAAGCAGAGCAGGATATGAAGCCATCATAAAATACAGGGTGGGCAGAGGCAAGGCATAAATGGGAGCACCTTGGTTAAGAGAACAGCAGCTCAAAATCCTTACCGAGGCCACCCAGCAGGCCGACCGTCACGTCCAGCATCTGTGTCCAACTACTGACCCCCCCCCTGCGACCTTCACACCACCCGATACCAGCTGGCCCTTGGGCCAACCCCAAGGGGGCCACCCTAAGTGGGCAACATGCCACAACTACCATCAACCGGGCTACTTCAGGAGGGATTACCCTCAGTCCTGGAGCCGCCCCCAGTGGGTTAGCCCCGGAGCGGCAGCCCACTGTTACCAGGCCGCCCCCACGTATCCTCCAAGCACCTCAGAAGAAGCCTGGGCCATCCTGCACAAATCAGACCCCATCCAAGTCGCAACAGACAACTGGAACCACCACAGGCAGCTGGTCCGGTTGAATGGGCGTCCTATACAGGGCCTGCGGGATACTGGAGCCTCCTTGACCCTGGTGCAACACCGGCTCATCACCGAGGCAGAGAAGACTGGGAGGACCGTCGCGGTCCATGTAGCCGGGGGAACGGTTTACCGCCTATCCACTGCTCACGTTCGCCTCGACTGGGGCGCAGGGGACAAGAGAGTAGAAGTCGGGCTCATGACCAAGCTAAGACAAATGAAGGTTGCGCCAAAGCTGGCTGTAGTCCAGCTAATATGAACAAAGTCCAAAATAGTAAAAAGCAAAGTCCAAAGTAATATAAAACAAACTCTTTAGTGGAGCCTGATGGGGTATCAACGGCCTATGAAGAGGGATATTCTCTGTATGGATCAAATGGAGGCAGCTTTCCAGGATCCGTATGTGAAAAGTGAAAGGATAATAGTGCAAAAACGTCAAGTAAAAAGGTGGGATTGCAAGAAGACAAAGTCTTCTTTAGTCCTACTCACGTGTAGTTGAGCTAAACTAGATCTAGTGTGGATGGCGTACAGCGGTACAATCCCCGCTTATGAGATACGTAGAGGGGTGTTGGTCTTTTTGTCCGTATGTGGAGAAAATGGACAGATGATAGGGCAGTACGTCTAGTAAAAGATGGTATAACAACAATAGAGACTAATATAGTCCTACTCACGTGCCGTAGAGCTTGAACCAGCTCTAGTGTGAATGGCGTACGGCGGTATAATCCCGCTTGTAGGATACGTGTAGAGTGGCAAGTCTTGTGTAGATATATATATCACATAAAAGAAAAAGGAGACAACGAATAGTGCTCACTGTATAAAATAGTATGTAAGGAGTACAGTATTTTCTGGCGTATAAGATGACTTTTTAACCCTGGAAAATCTTCTCCAAAGTTGGGGGTCGTCTTATACGCCGGGTATAGGGTCTATATAGCTGCCGGGGGCGCCCTGCGCCCCCATCGCCGGCCCTTCTATAGAAAGCGCTCAGACGGCTGCCGCACTGCCTCTCTTCTCACCTCCCCTTCCCTGTGCAGATTGGGTGGCCGAGCTCCTCTTCGTCCTGTCAGTCCTGAGTGCTCACTTCCTTTCAGTCCAGCCGGGAACAGGTAACTGAATCTCCTGTACCGCGCAGGAGGTGAGAAGAACGTAGGGAGGATTGGGGGATGGGGGGGGAGTAAAAAGAATGGAGGGGGGGAGTAAAAAGAATATATCGCAATTAGCCTCCTGTGTGCCAAACCAGCAGGCATGGATTATATGCCCAAACAGCCTGGCACATACCTGGGCTTTAAATGCTATTTCAGATTATCATTATTTAATGTCTTGCTGTGTAGCTCTGTCTGCTCACTGTACATCATGGCTAATTTTTATTTGGTGTGCATTGGAAGAGGGGTAGTCTTATACGGCGAGTATATCCCAAACTCTATATTTTAACTGGAAAAGTTGGGGGTCGTCTTATACGCCCAGTCGTCTTATACGCCGGAAAATACGGTTTATAAAATAAAATGGGTACTCACATATGATTGAGCAGACGAACTGTGTAGTTTGCATATTGTATAATCTGTGCCCTTTCTGCCTTTGGAAGCAGTATCATCACTCTTCTAAGCAGAGTTTAATATTCTCGGGCATTACCCACGCCCACACAGCATCCCCCCTCCCTCCTTCACAGCATGATCAAATGCATACACTTCCTAGCCGACGGCATAAAAACACGCCCCCGGCCGCATACCACGCCCCCTCCACCTATCACTGCACACTCCCTCCCCTAAGCTCGGCAATACCTAGCCACTACTACAGTTCCCAATACCCCCAGCGGCACGTCACGTGATCGGCCCGATTCCCAATATGGATGCCGATCACGTGACCACCTTTAACATCACTTTTAATCTATTTATAACCCTCGTTTTTATCTCAAACTTTAGGGGAAGCTGCCCTGACTTCTGATCTATACATTTGTATAATTATTTATGTATTTTGAAAATACACTTCATTTCATGACGTCATTTGGACACCAAACCCTTTTACTGTTCAAAATCAGTCCCCCTATATAAACCCTACCCTACCAAGCATGTTTTTGGTCTCCACTTGAGAAAGCCATTATAGGTGAAACGCGTTGTGGATATTTTAATATTTTATTCTGTATTCTTAATAAAGGTATTTTGGCTACTTTTAATATACCTTGATTGTGCCATTTTACTTTTTTATTCATCATTTTATTTATTTTTGCTTGGTATCCTGTTTTTTTATCCTTCCTGCTGAGTATTACTCCAAGACATCCTAGGTGGGGATTATACCACTTACACCCAAGTTATTGAGCAGTTTGTCTGCTCAATCATATGTGAGTACCCATTTTATTTTCTTTACTCCTTATATACTATTTTATACAGTGAGCACTATTAGTTGTCTCCTTTTTCTTTTATGTGATATATATATCTACACAAGACATGCCACTCTACATGTATCCTACAAGTGGGGATTATACCGCTGCATGCCATTCACACTAGAGCTGGTTCAAGCTCTACGGCACGTGAGTAGGACTATATTAGTCTCTATTGTTGTTATACCATCTTTTACTAGACGTACTGCCCTATCATCTGTCCTTTTTCTCCACATACGGACAAAAAGACCAACACCCCTCTACGTACCCCATAAGCGGGGATTGTACCGCTGTACGCCATCCACACCAGAGCTAGTTTAGCTCAACTACGAGTAGGACCATCATAGACTTCGTCTTCTTGCTATCTTACCTTTTTACTTGACGTATTTGCACTATTATCCTTTCTCTTTTCACATACGGATCCTGGAAAGCTGCATCCATTTGATCCATACAGAGAATATCCCTCTTCATAGGCCGTTGATACCCCATCAGGCTCCACTAAAGAGTTTGTTTTATATTACTTTGGACTTTGCTTTTTACTATTTTGGACTTTGGCGCAACCTTCATTTGTCTTGTTTTGTGTATTAATTTTATCCGTAGGGCCAAGAGGGAGCCCTATACCCAGGTTTGCTGCCTCCCACTTCCCATACTTGTAGTGTTGGTTTATTTTAGCGTTGTTTCCTTTGTTTTGTATATTTCCATTCATGACCAAGCTACCAGGATGGGGTGCTCCTCGGCAACGACCTGGGCCACCTCACCTTGTATGTGCACCCCCGGCGTTCCTGAAGAGACTTATCCAGTGATGACCGGCAGCACACCCGCACCACCCAGAATGGCTCACACACTGCGGTTCAGGTAGGCACACATACCTGTCCCCGTGCCCCAGCTTCCAATAGTTGCCCCTTGTCCTCCATGCTCATCCCATTGCCCCAGCCTACTGCGAACCTCCATGTCCTCCAGACCCCATGCCCTGGGATACCTCTGCTGAATCGGGAGGGAATTGGTCTCCGATCCTACCCTCAAAACTTATAGGAGTCGGGTGGCCACTAGTCCAGCGGGGGAAGGGGGAGAACAGTTTATCTGGGAGCAGGGGTTATTATATCGCTTAGCTGTAAAAGTATGCAAAGGAACTGCCCCTACTACCACCAAGCAGCTGGTAATGCCCAAGAAATACCGCAGGGCGTTATTGAAGATAGCTCACGACATTCCGCTGGCAGGGCATTTGGGATAAGTCATACTAAGCATCGACTCACCCAAAGCTTCTTCTGGCCAGGCATTTCCAATGACTTGTGGCGGTATTGCCAGTCTTGCAATGTCTGCCGGAAAGTGGGGCAACCGGGACAAAGCCAAGCTCCAGCCACTACCCATTATTGAGGACCCCTTCCGCAGGGTAGTTGTCAACATGATAGGTCTCCTGGCTAAGCCTAGTTCCTCTGGGAAGAAATACATCCTGACCATTGTGAACTATGCTACTCGGTACCCTGAGGTAGTCGCCCTGAATAATATTCAGGCAGAGACTGTAGCTGAGGCCCTGATGCAAGTTTTCTCCCGGATGAGTTTTCCCAGGGAGAAATGACTCACCAACTCTGGAAGTTGTGCGGCATTAAACCCATCCCGAGCTCCCCCCATCATCAATGGCACCTTGAAGCAGATGCTCCGTACCTTTGCAGAGACTCACTAAGATTGGGAACGATTCCTGCCACATCTCCTGTTCACCCAGGAATCGACAGGGTTCTCTCCCTTCGAACTGATGTTCGGTAGAGGGTTAGGGGGCCCCTAGACCTGGTTCGTGAGCACTGGGAGGGGAAAGGGAAGCAGGAAGGCTGGAGTTTCAGGACCGGCTGGAGGAGCTCACCCACCTGGTGAGTGGGAACCTCCAGATGGCCCAGAGGCGCCAGCGCACCGGGTATGATCGGAGCGCCAGAAGCCGTAGCTTTCAAGTAGGACAGAAGGTTTTGGTTCTAAAGTCCGTCTGGCATGACAGGCTACAGGTGGCCTGGCAGGGCCCCTACCGGGTAGTGGAACGGATGTGTAACACTATCTATGTGATCAGCCCTTGCTCGGGTGGCAGGGTTAGCCGCAGGTTACACGTTAATATGCTCAAACCCTACCACAAGCGGACGGAGGATGTGGCCGTCATTTGTGCTCCAGCCTCGGAAGATTTTGACAATCTTCCCCTGACTGACCTCCTGGAGGATGGGGTTCAAATTGGGTCCATATATAGGCTGACCGAAAGGGAATGCCAGCAAGCATTGCAGATGCTGTCGGCCAAGAGGGAGACATTCTTTGACCTGCCTGGGTGCACCCTCCTGGCAACCCACAGGGTAGAGACCCCCGAACAGTCGCCTCTGAGGCAAACACCATACCGCATCCCAGAGGTGGTCCGGGAGAATATAAGGCAGGAGATCCAAGAGATGCTCCAACCAGGGGTAATCGAGCCGTCCCAGAGCCCTTGGGCCTCCCCGGTAGTGCTGGTCCCAAAGAGAGACGGAACCACCAGGTTCTGTATAGACTAATGGAGGCTCAACAACAAGATGGTCTCAGACGCTCAAAAGATTTGTGTAAAGGGTACTGGCAGATTCCCCTAGTCGCAGATGCAGTCCCTAAGTCGGCCTTCGTCACCCTATTTGTCCTATACCAATTCAAGGTAATGTCATTTGGGATGAAGAACCACTTTCCAGAGGATGGTAGACTGGCTGTTAGATGGCCACCAGGAGTATGCGTGCGCATACTTGGATGATATAGCCATCAACAGCGACACCTGGAAAGAACACCTGGGCCACGTGGGGGCAGTGCTAGACAGTATTAGAGAGCCAGGATTGACCTTGAAGCCTGTTGATGGCGGAAGTACAGTACCTGGGACACCGGGTAGGGTGTGGGAAGCAGAAGCCCGAGCCAGTAGCTAATTGGCCCTGTCCTCACACAAAGATCCAGGTGATGGCGTTTCTGAGGACCGCGGGTTACTATAGGAAGTTTGTCCCCAACTTCAGTGCCCTAGCTAAGCCCCTCACCGACCTGACCTGCACAGAACTTGCCCCAACAGGTACACTGGACCCCAGAGTGTGAGCAAGCGTTCCAAGCACTCAAGAGGGCTCTTATTCATGCCCCTGTCCTGGCTGCTCCTAATCCGAATAAACGTTTTCTCATTCACACAGATGCCTCCATGTTTGGATTAGGAGCAGTGCTGAGCCAGGTCGGGGATGATGGGGGAAATCACCCAGTGGCTTACCTCAGTTAGAGGTGAGCTACGCCGCCATCGAAAAGGAATGCTTGGCAATGGTGTAAGCCCTCAAGAAGCTGCAGCCCTACATATATGGACAACAGTTCACTGAGCTCACAGATTACAACCCGTTGGAGTGGCTTAACTGGGTCCCTGGGGACAATGTCAGGCTGTTGCGTTGGATCCTGGCTCTACAACCCTATGATTTCACATTCACTACCGAGCTGGTAAGCAGAATGGGAATGCCGACGGGTTGTCGAGGCAGACAGAGCCGGAGAAGTGCTCTGTGAGTTCTTCCCCGGACATCCCCAAACCGATCCGTTGGCATCAGACTGTGTATGCCACTGCCAGTTCATGGATTTCCCCTCTCTTTCACATGTATTTTCCCTGTATTTTCATTTGTTATGCCTGCTCCCGTTCGGGAATGCTCCCACCACACTACCTCATTTAGAATGTTAGTATAGAATGTTTACACCTCCTAATCACTGTAACGGACCGTTTTGCCCACAAGAGGTTAAAAACCGTTTAGGTGATAGTCTCCTTTTTCAGCTGCACCGACAGCTACTGCAAGCACCAATCTCCCGAACTGCAAACCCACAAATTCACCAACTCCCAAACTGCAACCAAGGGAATACTCGAAACTCCGAACTGGAGACACACGAATAGCTGCTAGCAGACGAACAGGAAAAGCCCCCAAGCGGCTTACACTCCTGGCAATCAGTCTCTAACAGCATACAGTAAATCCTCCCCCCAATAATTAGACAACACTTCACTTTGAGGGTTAAGCAGGGACTCATTTACTGGGGCTAACTGCCCGGCTTTTATGCAGGTCTCCCACCTGGTGGACACTCCCCTAGGGGACCAAATGGAAGACTGGGACACAAAGGGTAAAAGGACCAATCACAGACTTACACATTTCAACCATCCCACAATGCATCACAATCCCTCCTCTCTGCTCTGGAGATAATTGGGAAGTAATTCAATTATCTCCAAAGACAGAGGCAAAACTCCATTAACCACATGGCAGAAAACAAACAGTAAAAGACATAAAATTACCTACAGTTACATTCAGTACATAAAACATATATGTTCTACATATCCCCAGATAGCTCAGGTCTGAGCGCACATTATTAAGCGAATGGCGCTCAGACCACACAAATACAGTTTAATCGCCATGGAGCCAAAGTCTTTACACAGTCAGTTTCATGCGAATGAGCTCCATGGGATTCCTATCTGGGGTACAACACACTGAAACAAAACTACCGAACACCGGGCCGTTTGTGCACTTTCACCGAACAAGAAGGGGGGGGTCGGCGGCTTCAGCGGTGTTCGCGCAAAACTGTGTCCGATTTCAGTTCCAAGAATTAAGCGTCGAACACCGCTGTGCATTCGCATGTTTAAAATGGCCGCGACTTCGTGTTCGTGATACGAATGGCGGCCACCCAGCATTCGTCAATTAAGCTGCGGTTAACCGCAGCTTCAGGGAGGTTAATTGCCGGCACACTCCAGCTCCCAGGTGGTCTATTCATTTGTGCGGTTGTTCGGTAGATTGAATCTACCAAACACCCGGCAGAAAAGCATGAATAAGTCTTTTCTGCAGGGAAAAAGATGTCTTTTAACATGGGGCCATAGTCCAAAGGCAGCAGACGAGCAACCAGGCTTCTCCAGTGTACAGTGGCGAGGTTGGTTTCGCCACAATCACCTCACAACATAAGTGTCAAAACCGCAAGGAAAACAATTAATGAGTGCTTCCCTCGGTTGCCGCCATTCGTACAGACGAACGCCACCAGGGGGAGCGTTCATGGGTTTTTTCCCAACTCGTTCATATCCCGAATGAGGGCCTTCCCAGTGCCCCATTAGAACATTCACATCAATTATTCAGAATGCTCGCACCCGCAACATAGGTGTGAAACCGCAAGGGAAGTAATTAATGAGTGCTCTCCTGGGTGGCCGCCATTCGTACAAACGCCATCCAGGGGGAACATTTGTACCCCGAAAGGAGACGCATCCCTTGTCTGTGTTTCACACAAGAACTTCACGATCCTCTTCTACCACTGTGATTGATCAGCCACAATATTAAAACCACTGACAGGCAAAGAGAATAACATTGATATTGTTTTAATAGCACCTGTCAAGGGGTGGGATATATAAGGCCAGCCCATCTGATCCGATCATACAGAAAAACTACTGTAGCTCAAATTGCTGAAAAACATAATGCTGGCCATGAGAGAAAGTTGATAGAACACACAGTGCTTCGAATTTCGCGGCTTGTGAGGCTGCATAGCTCTAGTTCATTCAGAGCCCTGTCCACCACCAAAAGCACCTTCAATGGGGATGTAATCCTCAGAACTGGAACATGGAATGGAGCAATGGAAGAAGGTTGCCTGGTCTTGTGAATCAATGTTTTATTGTAGATCAGGTGTATGTCATTTACCTGGGAAAGAGATGGCAGCAGATTGCACTATGGGGGGAACGTAGGCCGGCGGTGGAAGCGTTATACTCTGGGCAATGTTATGATGGAAAACCTTGGGTCCTGGCATTCATGTAAATATTACATTGACATGTACTTTTTTTGGGGCAGAGCCTAGCTGTTGAAGGAGATGGACACATTGCCTCAGAGCTTCATAGAAACATAGAATGTGACGGCAGATAAGAACCATTTGGCCCATCTAGTCTGCCCGATTTTATAAATAATTTCATTAGTCCCTGGCCTTATCTTATAGCTAGAATAGCGTTATGCCTATCCCACACATGCTTAAACTCCTTTACTGTGTTGACCTCTACCACTTCAGCTGGAAGGCTATTCCATGCATCCACTACCCTCTCAGTAAAGTAATACTTCCTGATATTATTTTTAAACCTTTGTCCCTCTAATTTAAGACTATGTCCTCTTGTTGTGGAAGTTTTTCTTCTTTTAAATATAGTCTCCTCCTTTACTGTGTTGATTCCCTTTATGTATTTAAATGTTTCTATCATATCCCCTCTGTCTCGTCTTTCCTCCAAGCTATACATGTTTAGATCCTTTAACCTTTCCTGGTAAGTTTTATCCTGCAATCCATGAACCAGTTTAGTAGCCCTTCTCTAAACTCTCTCTAAGGTATCAATATCCTTCTGAAGATATGGTCTCCAGTACTGCATACAATACTCCAAGTGAGATCTCACCAGTGTTCTGTACAATGGCATGAGTACTTCCCTCTTTCTACTGCTAATACCTCTCCCTATACAACCAAGCATTCTGCTAGCATTTCTTGCTGCTCTATTACATTGTCTACCTACCTTTAACCCCTTAAGGACACATGACATGTGTGACATATCATGATTCCCTTTTATTCCAGAAGTTTGGTCCTTAAGGGGTTAAAGGACCACTATAGTGCCAGGAAAACATACTCGTTTTCCTGGCACTATAGTGCCCTGAGGGTGCCCCCACCCTCAGGGTCCCCCTCCCGCCCGGCTCTTGAAGGGGGAAAAGGGCTTAAACTTACCTTTTTCCAGCGCTGGGCGGGGAGCTCTCCTCCTCCGATCCTCCTTTTCTCTGACCCGTCGGCTGAATGCGCGCGCATTCAGCCGGTCGCATAGGAAAGCATTCATAATGCTTTCCTATGGACGCTGGCGTGCTCTCACTGTGAAAATCACAGTGAGAAGCACGCAAGCGCCTCTAGCGGCTGTCAATGAGACAGCCGCTAGAGGAAATAGGGGAAGGCTTAACCCATTCATAAACATAGCAGTTTCTCTGAAACTGCTATATTTATGAAAAAATGGGTTAACCCTAGCTGGACCTGGCACCCAGACCACTTCATTAAGCTGAAGTGGTCTGGGTGCCTAGAGTGGTCCTTTAAGTCATCAGAAATAATCACGCCTAAGTCCCTTTCCTTAGATGTTGAGGTTAGGACTCTATCAAATATTCTGTACTCTGCCCTGGGGTTTTTAAGTCCAAGATGCATTATCTTGCAATTATCCACATTAAATGTCAGTTGCCACAACTCTGACCATTTTTCTAGTTTACCTAAATCATTTGCCATTTGGCTTATCCCTCCTGGAACATGAACCCTGTTACATATCTTAGTATCATCAGCAAAACGACATACCTTACCATCAAGACCTTCTGCAATATCACTAATAAAAATATTAAAGAGAATGGGTCCAGGTACAGATCCCTGAGGTACCCCACTGGTGACAAGTCCAAGCTTCGAATATATTCCATTAACTACAACCCTCTGTTGCCTGTCACTCAGCCACTGCCTTACCCATTCAACAATATTGGAATCCAAACTTAAAGATTGCAGTTTATTGATAAGCCTTCTATGTGCAACAGTGTCAAAAGCCTTACTGAAATCTAGGTAAGCAATGTCTACTGCACCACCCTGATCTATAATTTTAGTTACTTTTATCAAAAGTTGTCTGATGACGCAGAGGAGGGGCATTTGCTTGCACTGTACTTGCTTGTACTTCTACTTGCCACCAGCAACCGGCTTTGCACTGGTGACAATAGCGGATATTAAGGAGCTCCTGTCGGACCTATAATAAAAAGATCTCAGTTGATATAGCCACCATATGTTGAGATCTATGTGGCCTGACTAGCCGACATAGTATTGGACGGCACATACTGCACTAACATGCAGCAGATTATATTGCTACAACAAGCAGTTAAAGAGTTGCAACAGCAGAACCAAACATATGAGCACAAATTTGCTGCCCAGGAGAATAGGCAATGTCAGAAAAACATGAAAATCAGGGGGCCTCAGAGAATATTCTGGAGGCCGAGTTGCCACACTTTGCAAGGCGCCTCCTCGTGGCCTTGCGGACAACAAAACAGGCCAAGACACCACCTACAGCTCCAAAGGACCTGGTGGTCCAATTTCAAAACCATAAAGATAAAGCGGCAGTCATCTTATCTCTTCGAAGAAATGTCATTGGCCTTCCATGCAGACCTCTCCAATGGCATGTTGGCATGGACACTGTCTCTTCGATCACTTACCTCCCTCCTGTGAAAAAACAACATCCACTACTGCTGGAGCCTCTCACACACCTTGATAGTTTCTCAGGGGGACTCAACGTACACGATCTTGAAGTAGCCGCAACGACTCTACAAAACTTGGCCCTTCTCTTGATTCGCTTGGTCCACCTGAACAGGCTGCAGCGACCATGAGTTCTCATGACTGGGACCCGGCGCACACACCAGAGTCCGTGCCAAGACCATCCACTTCGGACTCTTATGCCACAGTCTCAACTTGAACACTAGCTGGAATACACCAGAATAGCCCATCTGGAGAACCACACAATTTAAAAGTTTTACTTCCACTTGTTTTTTTTTTCCGCTTTAACATTCTATTATCACTTGTAGCATAGGCATACATAAAGCGAAAAAAAAACAAGTGCAAGTAAAACTGATGCACAAATCAGATCAACTGTCTATTGCCCATATACCGCTACCATTCACGCCCATATACTCATGCTAGTTATGTGTTAAATTTAAGATTAGCATGGTAAGGGTGTTTATAGCTCTCTTGTTTATAGAGAACAGCTACCGTATCTTTACTAGCTCTCAAATTCAGTTTAGACCTTTTATTTTACTTATGTTTAGTTCCTATTTTGTTACATCTTGATATATGCTATATACAGCTCCTGTTATTTAAGTAAAGTTAGTGAACTATAGCTACTCCCAGCAGACTTTTCAACGTAAACGCAGCCTTTTCAGAGATCAGGCAGTAGTTACTTTGCTGCCAAGTAACACCTCTAGTGGCAGTCACTCAGATAGCCACTACAGTTGCTTTGTATCTCAGTGCTGCACAATGTGCTCTGCATTAAGGTGCTGAACATGTCCCATAAAGATGCACTGATTTAATGCATCTTTATGAGGAGATGCGGATTGTGCAATAGCCTCTCATTACTTTCCTATGGGAAGGCATTGGATTGACTTAGCCTTAGATCATCTAGTTTGATAATCTCAGCCAGGAGGTGTCAATTCCAATGTTAGAAACAGAATTATGTGGAACACAAATTCAGACGTCTCTTTAAAAAGAAATTAAAATGAGCTTACTTGTTTAAATAGCCAGGAATTAGTAATGGATATATGAATTAAACAAGATATAGTTGAATTTCCTTCCTTCAAGCAGAAAAAAACAAGGAGTAGAAGTGATTAGTTTGGCTTGAGTCTGTATAGACCTAATCCAGCAGAAATAGTATGAAAGTTAAACTCTAATGACTTGTATTGAAGTAGTTATTTTAAGCAACTTAGCTTGAGTTGAAAGGTTGTAGAGTAGTCAGTTGTCCGGCCCGAGATATCAGCACAGTCAGGCAGGAATAAGCAGAGGTTCGGTACATGTTGATTCACAGGAGGGAGCTCAAACGGCAACTTTGTCTCGCTTTGCAACAAATTAACTGAGCGATTTCAAAGTTGCCGTGGTTGCCCTTTAAAGGAATTGCGTCTGATGTCAGATGCATAGGCGGAGTTGATCGGCGAAACCCGGAAGTGTCTCCGAGGGAGTTTCGCCTATTGTTAGGTATGACAGGAAGACAGATCCAACCACGGCAAGACTGGTGCGGCGTTGGAGAAATGATTAGTAAAACACAAGGAGCGGGCCACCAGGTTTGTATTCCTGACACTGTAGTGATCCTTTAACATGAGACTAGCAGCCTTCTACTATCTAGTCATTCTATGCTAACTATACACTTTATTCCTAACTTTACATTCCTCTGAAACCTGCAGCCTGTCACGGCCTAGTAATATGGAAATCCTAGACTCTCCCTTCCTACGTCAAGACTTCAGCTCCAAGTCGTTGTTAATACTATGATACCAATTACCAGTTAATGGTGTCATAATCTACAGCTTCATTGCAAATAAGGGGGGAGGGGGGAGTTGCCAAACAGGGCATGAGATATATAAATATAAGTATAGGTATCCATACATGAGCACACTTTCTTTATCTCAGGACTCTACTGCAACATTATTTTACCTCAGAACATAAAATGTATATGACAGACAATGAACTGGCGTGAACTGGACATCAAATTGCCAAATTAAAGTGAAAAGAGAAGATTTTAAAAATAATGAACAAACAACACTGTGACCTCTGACATTTAAATCAATGTCAAGTTTAAAATTAACACATAAACAGTGCTAGCAGACCTTAAAAAGAAAGTTATGACAGTAAATTTGGACCAAACTTACGGGTAATACTCAAGAGAGTGATCTAGTGCTGATTGCAGTTTTGAAGACGCCAAACGTCAGGATTTTAGTACTTTTAGTAAAAACCAAATGAAAAAAAAGTTACCTGCGCTCTTTCCACATCCCTATGTATTTTTAAACAAATGGAGGTTTTTAGTTACCACCAATGGCCATGAGAGTGTATGCCCACCTGCCACGTCAAGGCAGACCTCTTAGGTGGGTCCTAACTCTAACCATTCACCTTGCTTCCTTGAGCTTTTGGCAAAGATATCTCTAATGAGACAGAAAGGGGTATTCATTATATACATCCCTACATACTTATTAACCCTTAATAGGGAACACATGGGATGGGCAGCAGCATAGTAACCTAATGGTGTGATACAAAAGTGAATACAAATACAAAGAAACAAGTCTTTAGCGCAGGACTTGTTTCTTTGTATTTTAGTGCTTTTAGCACATTGCGCACATTGAGTAGATGATCAGATTGCATACTGAGCTCTCACTGAATAAAAAATAACTAATTGATTTGTCTGGATCCAACATCATATGTGGATGTAAGATATTAATAAAGACACATTTTACATATTACTTTTTGTCTATTTGAATTCCTGTTTACATAGTGTAATAGCCATATAAAAAGACAGATATATTAATAATCCAGACACAGTGATGTGTGATGACACCCAACTGAATTCCAGTTCTACATGGTGCGAGTTCACGGATGTCCACAGGTCAAAATCTACAGAGATCCTTCTGCCAAAACATCTAAAGAACCTTCTTCCCATCTTGAAAGGAAGGCCTCGTGAGTTATAAATACAAACCTCTAATATGAAACCAGAGCTACATGGCTCATCAGTATACACCTCTCATATGAAACCAGAGCCAAGTGGGTTAGTAACTCATGAGGTTCCAAGTCTTTGTCCAGTCACCATATAAGGTTCTGTGCATCTGTCTACTCACTATACTACATTTTAAGTTCTATCCAATCAGTGCATGAGGTTCTTTTAAAGGTCACTTTACAAAGTTCTTTGTCTTTGGTTTTTCACTACAAATGGTCCATGTTTCTACTCGCTAACAATAAAATATTTAGTTTTTGCCTGATAACTATAGAGGGTCACGCTGTCCAGTCGCTATACAAGGTTCCATGTCTGCGTCCAGTCACAATCACAAGGATCAATGTCTGCGTCCAGTCACAATCACAAGGTTCAATGTCTGCGTCCAGTCACAATCACAAGGTTCATGTCAAGGTATCATGTCTGCGTCCAGTCACAATCACAAGGTTCCATGTCTCTGTCCAGTCACAATCACAAGGGTCCATGCCTGCATCCAGTCACAATCACAAGGTTCTATGTCTGCATCCAGTCACAATCACAAGGTTTCGTGTCTCTGTCCAGTCACAATCACAAGGTTCCGTGTCTCTACAATAACAAGGTTTCTTGCCTGCGTCCAGTCACAAGGTTCCATGGCTCTGTCTAGTCAAAATCACAAGGTTCCATGTCTGCGTCCAGTCACAATCACAAGGTACCATGTCTGGGTCCAGTCACAATCACAAGGTTCCATGTCTGGGTCCAGTCACAATCACAAGGTTCCATGTCTGGGTTCAGTCACAATCACAAGGTTCCAAGTCTGCGTCCAATCACAAGGTTCCAAGTCTGCGTCCAATCACAATCACAAGGTTCCATGTTTGCGTCCAGTCACAATCACAAGATTCCGTGTCTCTGTCCAGTCACAAGGTTCCATGTCTGCGTCCAGTCGCAATCACAAGGTACCATGTCTGCATCCAGTCACAATCACAAGGTTCCATGTTTGAGTCTAGTCACAATCACAAGGTTCCACGTCTGCGTCCAGCCACAATCACAAGGTTCCACATCTGCGTCCAGTCACAATCACAAGATTTCATGTCTCTGTCCAGTCACAATCACAAGGGTCCATGCCTACATCCAGTCACAATCACAAGGTTCCATATCTGCGTCCAGTCACAATCACAAGATTTCATGTCTCTGTCCAGTCACAATCACAAGGGTCCATGCCTGCATCCAGTCACAATCACAAGGTTCCATGTCTGCGTCCAGTCACAATCACAAGGTTCCATGTCTGCGTCCAGTCACAATCACAAGGTTCCATGTCTGATTCCAGTCGCAATCACAAGGTTAACAAGGTTCCATGTCTCTGTTCAGTCACAATCACAAGGTTCGATGTCTGCGTCCAGCCACAATCACAAGGTTCCATGTCCGCTTCCAGTCACAATCACAAGGTTCCATGTCTGCGTCCAGTCACAATCACAAGGTTCCATGTTTGAGTCTAGTTACAATCACAAGGTTCCACGTCTGCGTCCAGCCACAATCACAAGGTTCCACATCTGCGTCCAGTCACAATAACAAGATTTCATGTCTCTGTCCAGTCACAATCACAAGGGTCCATGCCTGCATCCAGTCACAATCACAAGGTTCCATATCTGCGTCCAGTCACAATCACAAGGTACCATGTCTGGGTCCAATCACAATCACAAGGTCCCATGTCTGCGTCCAATCACAATCACAAGGTCCCATGTCTGCGTCCAATCACAATCACAAGGTCCCATGTCTGCGTCCAATCACAATCACAAGGTCCCATGTCTGCGTCCAATCACAATCACAAGGTTCCATGTCTGCATCCAGTCACAATCACAAGGTTCCATGTCTGCATCCAGTCACAATCACAAGGTTCCATGTCTGATTCCAGTCACAATCACAAGGTTCCATGTCTGATTCCAGTCACAATCACAAGGTTCCGTGTCTGCTTCCAGTCACAATCACAAGGTTCCATGTCTCTGTCCAGTCACAATCACAAGGTTCCATGTCTGCGTCCAGCCACAATCACAGGGTTCCACATCTGCGTCCAGTAACTATCACAAGATTCCATGTCTCTGTCTAGTCACAATCATAAGGTTCCATGGCTGCGTCCAGTCACAATCACAAGGGTCCATGCCTGCATCCAGTCACAATCACAAGGTTCCATGTCTGCATCCAGTCACAATCACAAGGTTCCGTGTCTCTGTCCAGTCAAAATCACAAGGTTCAATGTCTCTGTCCAGTCACAATCACAAGGTACAATGTCTCTGTCCAGTCACAATCACAAGGTACAATGTCTGCGTCCAGTCACAATCACAAGGTTCCGTGTCTCTGTTCAGTCACAATCACAAGGTTCAGTGTTTACGTCCAGCCACAATCACAAGGTTCCATGTCTGCTTCCAGTCACAATCACAAGGTTCCACGCCTGCGTCCAGTCACAAGGCTCCATGTCTCTGTATAGTCAAAATCACAATGTTGCATGTCTCTGTCCAGTCACAAGCACAAGATTCCATGTCTGGGTCCAGTCACAATCACAAGGTTCAATGTCTGCGTCCAGTCACAATCACAAGGTTCCATGTCCGAGTCCAGCCACAGGTTCAGTGTCTGCGTCCAGTCACAATCACAAGGTTTCGTGTCTGCGTCCAGTCACAATCACAAAGTACTATGTCTGGGTCCAGTCACAGTCACAAGGTTCCATGTCTGCGTCCAATCACAATCACAAGGTCCCATGTCTGCGTACAATCACAAGGTCCCATGTCTGCGTCCAATCACAATCACAAGGTCCCATGTCTGCGTCCAATCACAATCACAAGGTCCCATGTCTGCATCCAGTCACAATCACAAGGTTCCATGTCTGCATCCAGTCACAATCACAAGGTTCCATGTCTCTGTCCAGTCACAAGCACAAGATTCCATGTCTGCATCCAGTCACAATCACAAGGTTCAATGTCTGCGTCCAGTCACAATCACAAGGTTCCATGTCCGAGTCCAGCCACAGGTTCAGTGTCTGCGTCCAGTCATAATCACAAGGTTTCGTGTCTGCGTCCAGTCACAATCACAAAGTACTATGTCTGGGTCCAGTCACAATCACAAGGTTCCAGGTCTGCATCCAGTCACAAGGTTCCATGTCTGCAGCCAATCACAAGGTTCCATGTCTGCGTCCAGTCACAATCACAAGGTTCCATGTCTGCGTCCAGTCGCAATCACAAGGTTCCGTGTCTGATTCCAGTTGCAATCACAAGGTTCTGTGTCTGCTTCCAGTCACAATCACAAGGTTCCGTGTCTCTGTCCAGTCACAAGGTTCCATGTCTGATTCCAGTCGCAATCACAAGGTTCACTGTCTGCGTCCAGTCACAATCACAAGGGTCCACATCCTCGTCCAGTCACAATCACAAGATTCCATGTCTCTGTCCAGTCACAATCACAAGGTTCCGTGTCTCTGTCCAGTCACAAGGTTCCATGGCTGCGTCCAGTCACAATCACAAGGTTCCATATCTGCATCCAGTCACAATCACAAGGTTCCATATCTGCATCCAGTCACAATCACAAGGTTTCGTGTCTCTGTCCAGTCACAATCACAAGATTCAATGTCTCTGCCCAGTCACAATCACAAGGTACAATGTCTGCGTCCAGTCACAATCACAAGGTTCCGTGTCTCTGTCCAGTCACAATCACAAGGTTCCATGTCTCTGTCCAGTCAGAATCATAAGGTTCCATGTCTCTGTCCAGTCACAATCACAAGGGTCCATGCCTGCATCCAGTCACAATCACAAAGTTCCATGTCTGCATCCAGTCACAATCACAAGGTTCCATGTCTCTCTCCAGTCAGAATCATAAGGTTCCATGTCTCTGTCCAGTCAGAATCATAAGGTTCCATGGCTGCGTCCAGTCACAATCACAAGGGTCCATGCCTGCATCCAGTCACAATCACAAAGTTCCATGTCTGCATCCAGTCACAATCACAAGGTTCCGTGTCTGCATCCAGTCACAATCACAAGGTTCCGTGTCTGCATCCAGTCACAATCACAAGGTTCCGTGTCTCTGTCCAGTCACAATCACAAGGTACAATGTCTGCGTCCAGTCACAATCACAAGGTACAATGTCTGCGTCCAGTCACAATCACAAGGTTCCATGTCTCTGTCTAGTCACAATCATAAGGTTCCATGGCTGCGTCCAGTCACAATCACAAGGGTCCATGCCTGCATCCAGTCACAATCACAAGGTTCCATGTCTGCATCCAGTCACAATCACAAGGTTCCGTGTCTCTGTCCAGTCAAAATCACAAGGTTCAATGTCTCTGTCCAGTCACAATCACAAGGTACAATGTCTCTGTCCAGTCACAATCACAAGGTACAATGTCTGCGTCCAGTCACAATCACAAGGTTCCGTGTCTCTGTTCAGTCACAATCACAAGGTTCAGTGTTTACGTCCAGCCACAATCACAAGGTTCCATGTCTGCTTCCAGTCACAATCACAAGGTTCCACGCCTGCGTCCAGTCACAAGGCTCCATGTCTCTGTATAGTCAAAATCACAATGTTGCATGTCTCTGTCCAGTCACAAGCACAAGATTCCATGTCTGGGTCCAGTCACAATCACAAGGTTCAATGTCTGCGTCCAGTCACAATCACAAGGTTCCATGTCCGAGTCCAGCCACAGGTTCAGTGTCTGCGTCCAGTCACAATCACAAGGTTTCGTGTCTGCGTCCAGTCACAATCACAAAGTACTATGTCTGGGTCCAGTCACAGTCACAAGGTTCCATGTCTGCGTCCAATCACAATCACAAGGTCCCATGTCTGCGTACAATCACAAGGTCCCATGTCTGCGTCCAATCACAATCACAAGGTCCCATGTCTGCGTCCAATCACAATCACAAGGTCCCATGTCTGCATCCAGTCACAATCACAAGGTTCCATGTCTGCATCCAGTCACAATCACAAGGTTCCATGTCTCTGTCCAGTCACAAGCACAAGATTCCATGTCTGCATCCAGTCACAATCACAAGGTTCAATGTCTGCGTCCAGTCACAATCACAAGGTTCCATGTCCGAGTCCAGCCACAGGTTCAGTGTCTGCGTCCAGTCATAATCACAAGGTTTCGTGTCTGCGTCCAGTCACAATCACAAAGTACTATGTCTGGGTCCAGTCACAATCACAAGGTTCCAGGTCTGCATCCAGTCACAAGGTTCCATGTCTGCAGCCAATCACAAGGTTCCATGTCTGCGTCCAGTCACAATCACAAGGTTCCATGTCTGCGTCCAGTCGCAATCACAAGGTTCTGTGTCTGATTCCAGTCGCAATCACAAGGTTCTGTGTCTGCTTCCAGTCGCAATCACAAGGTTCTGTGTCTGCTTCCAGTCACAATCACAAGGTTCCGTGTCTCTGTCCAGTCACAAGGTTCCATGTCTGATTCCAGTCGCAATCACAAGGTTCACTGTCTGCGTCCAGTCACAATCACAAGGGTCCACATCCTCGTCCAGTCACAATCACAAGATTCCATGTCTCTGTCCAGTCACAATCACAAGGTTCCGTGTCTCTGTCCAGTCACAAGGTTCCATGGCTGCGTCCAGTCACAATCACAAGGTTCCATATCTGCATCCAGTCACAATCACAAGGTTCCATATCTGCATCCAGTCACAATCACAAGGTTTCGTGTCTCTGTCCAGTCACAATCACAAGATTCAATGTCTCTGCCCAGTCACAATCACAAGGTACAATGTCTGCGTCCAGTCACAATCACAAGGTTCCGTGTCTCTGTCCAGTCACAATCACAAGGTTCCATGTCTCTGTCCAGTCAGAATCATAAGGTTCCATGTCTCTGTCCAGTCACAATCACAAGGGTCCATGCCTGCATCCAGTCACAATCACAAAGTTCCATGTCTGCATCCAGTCACAATCACAAGGTTCCATGTCTCTCTCCAGTCAGAATCATAAGGTTCCATGTCTCTGTCCAGTCAGAATCATAAGGTTCCATGGCTGCGTCCAGTCACAATCACAAGGGTCCATACCTGCATCCAGTCACAATCACAAAGTTCCATGTCTGCATCCAGTCACAATCACAAGGTTCCGTGTCTGCATCCAGTCACAATCACAAGGTTCCGTGTCTGCATCCAGTCACAATCACAAGGTTCCGTGTCTCTGTCCAGTCACAATCACAAGGTACAATGTCTCTGTCCAGTCACAATCACAAGGTACAATGTCTGCGTCCAGTCACAATCACAAGGTTCCGTGTCTCTGTTCAGTCACAATCACAAGGTTCAGTGTTTACGTCCAGCCACAATCACAAGGTTCCATGTCTGCTTCCAGTCACAATCACAAGGTTCCATGCCTGCGTCCAGTCACAAGGTTCCATGTCTTTGTATAGTCAAAATCACAATTTTCCATGTCTCTGTCCAGTCACAAGCACAAGATTCCATGTCTGCGTCCAGTCACAATCACAAGGTTCCATGTCCGAGTCCAGCCACAGGTTCAGTGTCTGCGTCCAGTCACAATCACAAGCTTCCGTGTCTGCGTCCAGTCACAATCACAAAGTACTATGTCTGGGTCCAGTCACAATCACAAGGTTCAATGTCTGCGTCCAGTCACAATCACAAGGTTCCATGTCTGAGTCCAGCCACAGGTTCAGTGTCTGCGTCCAGTCACAATCATAAGGTTTCGTGTCTGCGTCCAGTCACAATCACAAAGTACTATGTCTGGGTCCAGTCACAATCACAAGGTTCCAGGTCTGCATCCAGTCACAAGGTTCCATGTCTGCAGCCAATCACAAGGTTCCATGTCTGCGTCCAGTCACAATCACAAGGTTCCATGTCTGCGTCCAGTCACAATCACAAGGTTCCATGTCTGATTCCAGTCGCAATCACAAGGTTCTGTGTCTGCTTCCAGTCACAATCACAAGGTTCCGTGTCTCTGTCCAGTCACAAGGTTCCATGTCTGCATCCAGCCACAATCACAAGGTTCCACATCTGCGTCCAGTCACAATCACAAGATTCCATGTCTCTGTCCAGTCACAATCACAAGGTTCCGTGTCTCTGTCCAGTCACAAGGTTCCATGGCTGCGTCCAGTCACAATCACAAGGTTCCATATCTGCATCCAGTCACAATCACAAGGTTCCATATCTGCATCCAGTCACACCGCTGGGCAGTTTCTGTCTCGCCCCGCCAAGCAATTACAAGTGATCTACTGCTCCTGGGTTCAGTCAGCAATCAAGGCAAAGGCCGTTCAAGGCCTGCTGCTACCTCCTCAAGGTTCCGTGTTCCTGCACCAGTCACATCATAAGCCCAGTGTTCGCGCCCCTGTTACAATCACAAGGTTCAGGCTCAAGGCCCAGCTACAATCAAGGTTCCATGCCCGTGTCAAGTTACAATCACTAGGTTCCATGTGTCTGTCCAGTCAGGACCAAGGCAGTTCCATGTCTCTGTCCAGTCACAATCACAAGGTTCCATGTCTCTGTCCAGTCACAATCACAAGGTTCCATGTCTCTGTCCAGTCACAATCACAAGGTTCCATGTCTCTGTCCAGTCACAATCACAAGGTTCCATGTCTCTGTCCAGTCACAATCATAAGGTTCCATGTCTCTGTCCAGTCAGAATCATAAGGTTCCATGGCTGCGTCCAGTCACAATCACAAGGGTCCATGCCTGCATCCAGTCACAATCACAAAGTTCCATGTCTGCATCCAGTCACAATCACAAGGTTCCATGTCTCTGTCCAGTCAGAATCATAAGGTTCCATGTCTCTGTCCAGTCAGAATCATAAGGTTCCATGGCTGCGTCCAGTCACAATCACAAGGGTCCATGCCTGCATCCAGTCACAATCACAAAGTTCCATGTCTGCATCCAGTCACAATCACAAGGTTCTGTGTCTGCATCCAGTCACAATCACAAGGTTCCGTGTCTCTGTCCAGTCACAATCACAAGGTTCCATGCCTGCGTCCAGTCACAATCACAAGGTTCCATATCTGCATCCAGTGACAATCACAAGGTTCTACGTCTGCGTTCAGCCATAATCACAAGGTTCTGTGTTCTCTCCCATGCCTACAAAAGATTCCATTAGGATGCCAAGTTGATACACAAGACTCTGATTCTCTGTCTGGCCACTATAAAAGGTCCGATGACATGGTAGTTTAATCCCCCTGGCTGTGTGCAGAATACTGCTTCCGAATCCTCTCGTAACGCTGCAGTTCATGATGTGATACTGATGGCTGAAGACAATCTGCGGCCTGAACAAAATGCTCCATACGAACAACAAGGTTTGCAGCTTGCCCCTCCTGCCCTGTAAAGGAAGACAAAGCATAGGATGTCTAAAGAAAAAGAAATGCGGTCATAGAAACTATTACCATAGGAAGTTTTCCTCAAATTATATATCGGTTTGTACTCACTATGCCAAGCTACCCAGAGCAAGGTTCCATTGCACCTTTGGATTTTCTATAGCTACATACTAACTGCCTGAAACATTGCCCATCAATCCTCTTCTCCCTTAACTCACCAAGCTCTAGTTTCTCAATTTTGTCCTTTACGGCACTCATCATTGCATTAGCACACAACGCATACAAGTCTGCACCAGTTACTGCAGAAGGTAAGTGCTCAATCACAAGGGAAAGGTCCACTTCTGGATCTAGGGAGAACCTGAAGCAAAATGAGAAAGATGGAATAAAACGAAAAATCATAGCCATACTTGGGACACTTTCTGGCACACATGACACTCCTGAATACTAAATGAGATTCATATCCCTTTATGGTGACAGTTCTCATTCTCACATGAAAACATTGAGTAGAATAATGTGCATGTCACAAAGCTCAGAGGTACAGTCTTAAAAAACAGTTACACATAGAGTTCCAGTAGTCCCAATTAATTTATTAACTGCCGAACAGCCCCACAAACACAGCGTTTCAGCTCCAGACATCGTTAACCCCTTAAGGACTGGACTGTTTTTGCAATGTTGTACATTTGCGACCAGGCATATTTTTACACTTTTGTGGTGTTTGTGTTTGGCTGGAATTTTCCGCTCTCTCATTTACTGTTCCCATACAAATTATATATTGTTTTTCAGGACAAAAGGGGCTTTCTTTACATACCATTATTTATATAATCTCATGTATTTTAATTTAAAAAAAATAAAAAAAATATGATGAAAAATTGAAAACAATACATGTTTTTTGACTTTTACTTGAAAAATCTTTTATTCATCTACAAAAGCGAATAAAAAAAACTGCTAAATAGATTCAAAATTTTGTCCTGAGTTTAAAAATACCCCGTGTTTACATGCTTTTTAGCTTTTTTTTGCATGTTATAGGGCTATAGGTACAAGTAGAATATTGCGGTTTCAAAACATAAATTTTTTAAATTTATCAATAGTGACATTGTAACACTATTATCTGTCATAAATCTCTGAATAACACCCCACATGTACCTATTTTTTTTAAAGTAGACAACCCAGGGTATTCAATATGGGGTATGTCCAGTCTTTTTTAGTAGCCACTTAGTCGAAAACACTGGCCAAAGTAAGCATTCATATTTGTTTGTGTGTGAAAAAAGTAAAAAAACTAAATTGAACGCTAATTTTGGCCAGTGTTTGTGACCAAGTGGTTACTAAAAAAGACTGGACATACCCCATTTGCAATACCTTGGGTTGTCTTCTTTTGCAAATGGTATGCCATCATGGGGGTAATTCTCATTCCTGGGCTACCATACGCTCTCAAAGGCAACGTAACCAACCTGGCCATTTTCAATGTAAAAATATTTGACCCATATATTTGACCTTGTAACTTTCAAAAATACTATAAAACCTGTACATGGGGGGTACTGTTTTACTCGGGAGACATCGCTGAACACAAATATTAGTGTTTAAAAACTGGAAAACGTATCACAACAATTATATCATCAGTAAAAGTGCTGTTTGTGTGAAAAATGCAAAAAAGTCACTTTCACTGACAATATCATCGCTGTGATATGTTTTACTGTTTTGAATCACTAATATTTGTGTTCAGCGAAGTCTCCCGAGTAAAACAGTACCCCCCATGTACAGGTTTTAGGGTGTCGTAGAACGTTACAGGGTAAAATACAGTGCTAGCAAATTCAATTCTCTGGAATTTCGGCCTGGGTTGGCAGGCAGGTCCCTTAAATTGCAATCAATAAAATTACTGAATTATGTAAAACTATTACATAAATACGCACGTAGAATTTAAATATATATGCATATTTATATATTTGAAGTCTACGTGTATATTTATATAATTATTTATGTAATTTTGTATATGGACATATGTATATTTCTTATTATTTTTATTTATTTTTATATACATAGATATATATACAAATTCATTCTAAGTGTATTTTGATATAAATATATATATATTAATTTTAAAATACATTTAGAATAAAATTTCATATAGATATATAATTTTTTTTATTTTTTTATTATTATTTTTAATTTTTATTTAATTTAAATTACTTATTATTTATATTTTATAATAATATATATATATACACAATATATATAGTTATTATATATATTATATATATATACGTGTGTAATTTAATTATAAGTGTATTTTTATATTAATATAAGTACATATTAATATAAAAATACACTTAGTATGGCATTATATATATGATATATAGACATATATTATATACATATAATATATGTCTATATATCATATATACACATATATAATTTTTTTTATTTTTTATTAACATTAACCTTTATTTTATTTTTTGATTTTACACTAGCAGGGAGACTGCCTGTCAGCACAGGCAGCCCCCCTGCAGGCAGCACTATGGACACCTATTGTGACCATGTGATCGCTGTGTTAAGCGATCACATGGCCACAGGGGTCCTAAATCAGTGTGGGGAGACTGTCTGGGCTGCAGGCAGTCTCCCCACAACGGGAGCAACGCTGATCGCCACCGGGGAAACGACGGCGATCAGGTAAGTAACGGAAACCGTTAGGACGGTTCAGGACCGTCATCGGTCCTCAAGGCAAAAATGCCGATGACGGTCCTGAACCGTCCTGGGTCGCTAAGGGGTTAATCATGTATAATGGAACTGCGGTAAATATACATGCATCACTGCCTGCAAGCACAATGCGACAATGAGCTCTCATACTCACTTGCGGGTTATTGCAGTCAGAACTTTGAACTGGGATTCACGGTTCTCATTTATTCCAACATAGAGGAGCTTGTCAAACCTGTCAAGAAACAGATTGTAACTGTAAGTGAAACAGGTAGGATTGGGAGAATAAAAACAGAAGCAAAACAAAAATTAAACACAAAAAAACAACACTGTAGGGGGGCGGAGCTTGACCACCTTGCTGTGCAGACGTGGGTAACACAAGCTCCTGGCGGGCATAAATTGGGGCAAAAGCGGCAGCTTAACAGCCCAAGGACTTACCAGGGTACACTACCCACATCAGGGATGCACCACTGAATCGAGTGATACCACTCCAAAGCCCGTTGGGGCCAGGGGAGCGGAACGCCAAGTGCGGCCTACTGGGGTTGGAGCCGGGGAGCGGCGGCCGCTCTCCACGACACCGGAGCCCCCAAGCGACTTCGCAAGCATCCTACCCAACCCCCCCCTTTGGACCGGAGGGGGTTATCCCGGTCCCCACTGGATAAGCAGACAAGGACTGATGGCGGACTTACCGGCTAAAACGCCTGCAGGGGTAACGAACCGCAGAGGCACAGCCAAGACACCGAGCACATGCACCCAGCAACCCACACATCCCCTGGAGGCTTTTGAACGGCTCTGCATGAGCTTCTGGACAACACTATGCAATCTTGGAGTGGCCTACCACCTAGCGGTAAAAGCGGTGGCTTCATGGATCCGCCCTGCAACCCAGCGACGCCAATATGGGCACCTACCTCAAGCCTCCAGCGCAGCCATTTGGCTACGCAGACACCAACGTGCATCGTGACGTGAAACAGGGCCCACACACACAGGAGCTAGATAACCAAGCAAGCCTTACATGCACGCAACTCACCTGACCTGAGAATCGGTGATCAGCACAGCGCAACTCTACCCTTTAAAGCCAAAGCTGCAAACCACATTGTTGTGCAGAGGTACACCCTACTGATTATAGCTAGAGCTGAATCCCAGCCCAGGGGCACCATCGAAGAGACCTACAACGACAATAATAGAGACATTCCTGCACTGGGCATAGGCAGAAGCGCCCATTACTATGCCTCACAGCGGACATGCCTTATTTGCATCTTGAGGGTTCATTTTCCATGGTCACTGTATGGATATATTTTCCAAGCAGCTAATGCTTGCCCATTTATTTAGTCTGGAACAACCTCCTAACAGGCAAAACCCACGACAACCTCTGCAATTAGTTTTAAACAATGCAGCAGTTTCCTTACTTTGATTTCTGTCTGTTGCTACTTGTTTCCAGTGGTCTCACATCTTGTCAGCTAATGATACAGCAGAATCATATTGTGACGAGACCAATCTCGCCACATTGCATTGCAGGAGCCTGGTTGCCCACCTGCTGCCTTTGGATTATGGACCGGCAGCTAAAGGGTTAATTTTACTGTGCAGAAGGATTTATTTCTCCCTTTCTGCACAGACTTCTATCAGCCTCCCCAGAGCTGTGGGAAGTCGGCCGGCGCCGTTAATTGGCCACCCAGAAGCTGGAGTGCGCCCTCCATTTACCTCCCTGAAGCCGTGGTTAACCGCGGCTTAACGAGCGTGTGCCGGAAATTGACCATCCAGTAGCTGCGGTTAACCGCAGCTTAATTGATTGTTACTGGGTGGTCGCGGTTACACTTAGCCGCCACACGATGGCGGTGTTCTGGAGCTCCCCGGGCAGCCAGCGCTTTTCTGCCCGGCTTTCCTGCACCAAACCCGGACACTTTTACATGCAGGCACCGCTGAACCTCCAACCCCTGGTTCTAATTCGTACGGATTTAACGAATGCATGTAAATTCGATATTTT